CAAAAAATGTTCCCAGAGCGTTTTGGATTTCAGAATTGTGGATAAGGGATTGGGCACCCATATTTTCATCATCATGATGTGTATGATGTCATGTGTTTTCTGCAACTGGAAATTGGATCATTTGTGTATGGTCCAATTTTGTATGACATTTCCCATTCTACAGAGATGTGAAAACTGGAAGAGAAACGGGCAGTACCTCTAAGATTCGCCTAAACAGATGCTGTGGTTTCCATCAAACCACAGGCCACCCCAGCATCTCAGGTTGTCCTGAGAGAGCCACAAGGCCAGGGCCCTTGAGGGATTCCCAGACACCAGCTGCTCCTCCAGGCACCAATTCCACCCTCCACCTTTCTGTGCCGGTCCCAGACCCAGGCAGCCCAGGTGAGAAGCTATGGGTAGGAGGTTTCCCAGTGGGTAGGGGTGCCAGACTAAGCAGCTAGAAATATAGAATGCTGGATTAAATGCAAATTTCAGATCAATGATAAATAATTTTTTGTGTAAGTGTATCTCATGCAGCATTTGAAATACAATTTAATCAAATTTAACTAGATGACCTGCATGTTGTACGAAACTCCCTAGGGGGTGTGTCTCCAGGATAGAGCACCAGTGGAGAATGGCAGCCCACACTGTTATGGGATGAAGTGTGTCCCCCAAAATCAACATGTTGCCGCCCTAACCCCCAGAACCCCGGAATAAAACTATATTTGGAGTTAAGGTCTTTAAAGAGGTAATTACATTCTAATGAGGTATTTAGGGCAGACCCTAATCCAATAGGACTGTATCCTTCTAAGAAGAGGATGGGGCATCAGAGGAGAGGCCATGTGAGGATACCATGGGAAGGCGGCCACCTGGAAGCCAAGGAGAGGGGCCTCAGGAGAAACCAGCCCTGCTGACACCCTGAGCTCCTTGTACTTCCAGCCTCCTAGACTGTGAGAAAATATACTTGTGTTATTTAAGCCCCTCAGTCTGTGGTTCTTTGCTGTGGCAGCCCTAAGAATCTAATACACATGCCAACCTGTCCAGGCACAGATGGGCCATCTTCAGGGAGAGGGTATAGGGGGATCTGCAGGCCTGCCAGGGATGAACCATGAGGTGGGGCCCTCAGCAATGGAGGCAGCTTCCCCCAACCCCAAGCCCCCAGACCCTCCCCCTGTGATATGTATGCTCTGAGTTCAGTCTGTTTCCAAGCCCCTTCCTATGCCTGTGGAGTCAATGTCACCCCCAGTCTCGGGGTATCCTTGCACTGATACACTACACTACACCCTCATACCCACCCCACGGCTTCCTGAACTGCACCCCCAAGTGCACCGCTCTGCATCTGGCTTCTCCATCAACCACGTGCCCTGGAGTTTCTCCGAGCTGTCCATGTGGGCAGCCTCCTTTTGAAGCCTGGAGTGGGTGAGTATTGAGCAGAGGCGATGGCAGGGTCTAGAGCTCATTCATTCCTGAGTAGGGGAAGCTTTAAGATTCCTTCTGTACCATAAGTGAGTGCCGCCCTGCCTGGGGATGTGCACACCCTGCCCTGAGACTACTGCCTCAGACCATGGGTAGCTGGTCAACCTAGGCATTGCCCACGCCTCCCACATGAGCGGTGGGCAGCCCCACTGCCCCTCTGTTCATTGACCTGTGGAGTCTCAGAGATGTCTTGTTTTTTTTTTTTTTGAGACAGTTTTGCTCTGTTACCCTGGAGTACAGCGGTGCAATCTCTGCTCACTGCAACCTCTTCCTCCCAGATTCAAGCGATTCTCATGCCCCAGCCTTCCAATTAACTGGTATCACAAGCGTGCACCACCATGCCCAGCTAATTTTTGTATTTGTAATAGAGATGGGGTTTCGTCATGTTGGCCAGGGTGGTCTCAAACTCCTAACCTCAAGTGATCTGCCTGCCTCGGCCTCCCAAAGTGCTGGGATTACAGGTGTGAGCCACCGCACCCAACCTGTCTTGATTTAATAGTCATTCAAGGTGCTCATTTCTTGACTGAATGACTACAAGAGCAGATATAAATGAACACATCCAATCAGTCTTGCCCTGGGTCTGAAGTGGGATTCTCAGCACCAGCGATCTGTTGCACTGGATCATTCTCTGTAGTGGTGCCAGCCTCTGCCCTGCAGGATGTTTAGCAGCGTCCCTGGACCTCACCCACTAGATGCCAGCAACAGCTCCCTGCCCCGGTTGTGACAAGTAAAAATGTCCTTGGACATTACTTCAAGCACGGAGGTTGGGAACCGCTGTTCTCAATGTTTCCAAATGCATCTCACACCATAGGTCTATGCACAGAATAAATGAATGATTCACTGTTGACCAATGAAGGTTTTGTTTGGAGACAGGTGTTATAACAGCAGGAAGAAAACTCCCCAAAGAAAAAGTGTGCTATCAGCTGAAGCATCTCCCAAGTCCAGCCCTGCACCCCCACGTGCATCCCCACACGCATGTGCTGTCAGGAATCAACCGAACCCTTGTTTCTGTCGCAGAAAATTGGTGGAAGCAATCCTTGCTTGCGTGCCGGGATGCCTGTCCAGGTGAAGCCAGCGGGAGTCTCTCCAGATTCTAAGGCAGTGATGGGAAAGTGAAGGAAGCAGAAACGACCAAGGGCCGTCCTCTGTCAGTAATTCACTCTGTCAGCCCTCCCTAAGCCGGGTGGTGGGTGTTGTGCATCAGGACGCCGGGCTCTTGTGGGGTAATGAGAGGGACTCACACATGGCCAAACTGTGACTCAAACCTGGCAGGACTCCAGAGCCCACTGGCTTCACTCTGCCCTCTTAAATTCTACAATTAGAGCTCCCTGGGGGAGGGCAACCCATTGACTTAAATGTTCACTCACCTGTAAACAGGCGACATGAGATTTTCTCCCATTCATGGGTTTCCTGATGTTAGGCTGGAGCACAGAGCAGGGGCCATAGGACACCTATGGGCTGAAGAGAACCCTGGGTAGAAGACAGTGTGTGTGTGTTTCACGATGGTGCCAGGAGCTGGCCCTTTGATATAAACCAGGTCCTATTTTGAGCGTGCTGGGAAGTTCAGTAGTAGCGTTCCATAGACACTTCTGAGATGCACAGGCACTTTTCCTGCCTAATGTGGCCAGGAAAAATTGCCCTGATAAAACCAATGACATCATGGATTAGAACCTGAGGACTGCGCAGTCTAGTGGTTCCCGATCTTGCTGCCTTTCACGGCTCCCCAGGCGATGTTAATAGGCAGCAAAATCAAGAACCACTGGCCCTCAGGGCCCTTGCTGCCAGTAAACAGGCAGCAGTCGATGTCCAGGCCCTCCCCACCAACTAAATCGGGGTCTCCAGGATGGGCTCGTGCCTCCGCGGTTCCTGGCTCCCCCGGTGCAGCTGGGACCTCCTTCAGTGATCCAGTGCAGGATTCTCACACCGTAACGCGCATCTAAACGAATCGGGGCGCTTGTGAAAATCTGAATTCTGGCTCAAGAGGCTTGGATGAGCCTGAGATTCTACTAGGAGCTAGGAAAAGTGTGATCCAGAGCTAGGAAAAGTGTGATCCTTGGATGCTTGTCATCTGGGAGCTTGTTAGAGGTGCAGGATCTCAGGTCCCACCCAGAACCTAAGGATCAGAATCTACATTTGAAAAATGTGCAGGCTTGTTGAATATAAGTCCCTAGTTTGAGACAACCTACTACAGCCTGAAGCCTCTATTTGCTCATGAGGAAGTGAGGTTCAGAGAAATGGGGCCCTGGACCCCACAGCTACTCAATGCAAAAAGCTTTAGGAACTGTGCTTGCCTGCAACCCAAGCGTCTTCTTCCCACCCTTGCTTGTCTCACTAAAGATTGCATTTGTTTCTCTGACAATGATAATTTCAGGCAAGGTATAAAACTTGTTCCTCCTGTTACATTTAATTCAGGCATGAAACCAAACAAACCCAAAAATGTAGAAAGGAAAGAGAAGAAATGGGGCTAAAAAAGATCTAAAAATGGGACAGAAGCAAGGTGCCTTTTTCATCTTCTCTTTGATTAAAAAAGGTCTGTGAGCTCGAAGCCCACAGGTATGTGACTCAGTGCAGACGAGGGGAAACTCCGTGGGAAGTTTTGGATCCTTCCTATTAGAAGAAACAGGAATTTAGCCCAGCTCAGGGAAAACATATGAGCTTTCTTTGACTCTCCCAGGATGAGCTAGTTTCAGCATCGTGGTGAAAAAATAAAATAATACAAAAGTGTTCACCAAAAGGAAGTTCTGTTTCCTCTATTTCTGAACCCACAGAGAGCTAAAATGACTCTGATGAGTCAGAAGCCAGCGCCCCTGAGGGAGCCACCAAAGGAAGATACTGAGCTTTTAATGTTTCCTTAAAGGGCAGCCCTAACCCCTCCCAGGGCGGAGCTGATTTTTGGAAATAGCCAAAAGTGGTTTCAAGTCACATCACGTGATTGAGGTGGGTGACCAAACTCAGCACAATGTTAGAAACCAATCCAAATGTGACAATAAGTGACATTCCTGGTTTGTTTATTTATTTATTTTGAGATGGTGGTCTCTATCCGTCACCCAGGCTGGAGTGCAGTGGCATGATCACGGCTCACTACAGCCTCTACCTCCCAGGGTCAAGCCATCCTCCCACCTCAGTTTCCCAAGTAACTGGGACTACAGGCATATGCCACCATGCCCAGCTAATTTTTTTATTATTTATTTTTTGTGGAGACGAGGTCTCGCTATGCTGCCCAGGCTGGTCTCAAACTCCTAGATTCAAGTGATCCTCCCACCTTGGCCTCCCAAAGTGCTGGGATTACAGGCATGAGCCACTGCACCGGGCCTGGTTTCTTCATGCAGGCTGTCACCTGGCTCTAGAAGGCAGTTTCTTATAAAAGTCCCAGCTGCGGCTTGAGCAGGAACAGCTGCATGGACAACAGCATGGAGCTTCTCAAGGTGCCTCCTTCGAAGGGCAAAAGTGGGTCTGATGAGTTGTTCAAAGCGGGTACCCAAGGGTCACATTCCCTGCATCCAACTCCCACTCCCACTTCACTCCTTCCTTCCTTCCTTCCTTTCTTTCTTTCATTTTTTAAACAAGCTTGGGCAAATTTTATTAAAGGAAAATTTTGCATGGTTTACTTTTCACCAATCTGTTCTGGCGTGCTTCTAATGATGTCAGAATCACCTGGATCAATGATAGCCATTGTGCACACTCTGTAGTATTTTCCACATGCTGTGCCCAGTTCAATATTATTGCCACCGTAGTGATGGACACCAATTTTGGCCAACATTCCATAGCTGGGCAGTTATGAGAATGACCAATTTCACTTTGCCTTGTCTGATCATCTTCAGAGTCTGCTTGTACCCCAGCTCGTACTTTCCACCTTTCATAACGAGTTGGAGCCTACAGTTGACTGACTCCAGGAACTTTTTCTTGTTCTTTGTGGCCACCAACTTCCTGCCTTAGGTGCAGGATGACCTCCAACCGAGAGCAGCCACTAAGATGGCCGGGGAGCCTCATTTCTTTCATAAAGGTGATTGCCCATTTTCAGACACAGGATAGGGGTTTATTGAGGGTGCCACCAAGGAGAAGGGGGTCACTACCTGAGAAGGGGCCATGGGGGGCCCATGGCAGGTGGCAGAGGGCAGAGCAAAGAAGGGGCAGACATCGCCCCTATCAGTTTGCTTGTGCTGCACTAATGAAGTACCACAGATCGGGGCTTAAACAATGCAAACTTACTGTCTCACAGTTCTGGAGGCCGGAAGTTCAAGATCAAGGTGTGAATAGGGCCTGTCCCCTCTGAAACCTGTAGGGCAAATTCTTCCTTGCCTCATCCTCGCCTCTGTGGGTTGCTGGCAATCCTCGTCATCCCTGGGCTTCCAGCTGCATCCCCCTAATCTCTGTTTCTGTTGCTGTTATATGGCATTCTTCCTGTGTCACTATCGTCATCTGGCCGTCTTCCTGTAAGGACAGCAGTCATCACGGATTAGGGGCCCACTGTCCTCTGGTAGGACCTCATCTTAACTATTTACAGCTGCAACACCCTGTTTCCAAATAAGGCCACTGCCTGAGATACTGGGGGTTGGGACCTCAATGTATTTTTCTGGGGAAACACAAAATTCAATCTGTAATGCCACCTTTGTCAAAATTGTTTCTAGAATATTAATTAGGCTCATTCACCCCACCTGAGGGTTTTTTTGGTTGTTGTTGTTTTTTTTTGTTTTGTTTTGTTTGTTTTTTGAGACAGAGTCTCACTCTGCTGCCCAGGCTGCAGTGCAATGGTGTGATCTCGGTTCACTGTAACCTCTGCTTCCTGGGTTCAAGCTATTATCCTGCCTCAGCCTCCCAAGTAGCTGGGACTACAAGTGCCCGCCACCACACCCAGCTAATTTTTGTATTTTTAGTAGAGATGGGGTTTCACCATGTTGGCCAGGCTGGTCTTGAACTCCTGACCTCTGGTGATCCACCCACTTTGCCCTCCCAAAGTGCTGAGATTACAGGCTTGAGCCACCACACCCCGCCCTGAAGAACTATTTTTATCTGCACAATGCTTCATTCAAACAAACCCTTTCTTGGAAATCTAATCTGTTGTATCCCAGAAGATCTTGAAATATAATTATTGTGCTTTTTTGTTGTGGTTTTTTTTTTGTTGTTGTTGTTGTTTGCTGCTTTGTTTTTTGCTTTTTTGAGATAGAGTCTTGCTTTTGTTGCCCAGGCTGGAGAGCAGTGGCACCATCTCAGCTCACTACAAACTCCACCTCCCTGGTTAAGTGATTCTCCTGCCTCAGCCTCCTGAGTAGCTGGGATTACAAGCGCCCGCCACCACACCCAGCTAATTTTTGTATTTTTAGTAGAGACAAGGTTTCACCATGTTGGCCGGGCTGGTCTCGAACTCCCAACCTCAAGTGATCCGCCTGCCTCAGCCTCTCAAAGTGCTGGGATTACAGGCATGAGCCACCTCGCCAGGCCTATTGTGCTTTTTTCCCTTCCCCTAGTCTCTCCTAAGTGCTCAATGAGCAGGCTCCTGGCGGTAGGATGCAGAAGGCCTGAGTTAACAGGGCCTTTCATTCACTCTGCAGGCTCTGGAGAGGCCCAAGGAGCCGGCTGGTGTCCCAGGGAAGACCCTGGAGGGGAGGGAGGCCCCTGGCTCTGCCCACAGCTGACTATGCGGGAATCACCGGGGCAGCAGTGGGTCGGGGCAGCAGTGGGCCGGGCTGCAGCCACGGAGGAGGTCAGGTCCTGGGCCAGGGCCTGCGGGTGGTTAGAGAGTAGTGAGTGGGGACAGCCTGCTGCGGCTTGACGGATCCTTGGGCACAGACCTCCCTGCTCCTCCTTGGCCCTCCCTCCAGGAGGCACAGCCTCAGCCTCCTGCGTTCTTTCCTCTGCAGCTGCCTGGGCTGCCTGCGCTCAGCCCTGAACACCCTCCAGGCCTTGAGGCTCTGCTACCCCACGCGGAGCCCCCATTTCAACAGATGCAGACATCCCAAAGCCCCTTCCCCACAGCCCGAAGAGAAGTCCTGGCTCTACAGAGAGAGCAGAGAAGCGGAGTCCCCCGGGATGCCCCCCGAGACCTCCCTCTCCCCAGCACCCAGGATGGGAGCACGCACTTCCCGTGGCTGGGGGAAGAAACTGCCACACACAGGGAGGCTGAACACAACAGGAGTCTATTGCGCACAATCCTAGAGGCCAGAGGCGGTGACGTCAAGGCGCTGGACGGCCGCCCTCCCATCGGAGGCCCGGGAAGAATCCGTTCCCTCCTCTTCCAGCTTCCCTGGCTCAGTGCAGCACCCCTGCAACCTCTGCCTCCATGGTGACATCGCTTCCCCTCTTCTGTGCCAAATGTCCCCCTGCCTCCCTCTCCACCAGAATAATCCCCTCATCTCAAGCCCCTTCATTTAATCACACCTGCAAAGCGTTTGCCGCCTAAGGTAACAATTACAGGTTCCAAGGATTAAAACCTGGTATGTTCGGAGGCCATTATTCTGCCTACACAGAGGGGTTGGCTTAGGACACCCGTCCTTGGTGCCGGGTAAAGCTGCCCAGGGAGCCTGGAGGAAACCTTCTCTGTCTGTTTCAGCCCCCACAGGTGCCCCAAGGGAGCCGCCACTGAGGTCCTCGGGCTCTGATCGAAGTATGACGTGACAGCAAGTCCACTCCTCTCCCCGCTGACTCTGGCACAGGTTTTCCGCGTGGCCAGGGATGGGTGTGAGCAGCCCAGAGTAGGGGCCGGCCCAGGCTCGGCCAAGGTCCACACGTCTGCCTGGCCGTCATGCCCAGCTCCATGTGAGATGGGACCACCAGCGCTGGCCACCTGGGGGGCTTCCCTGAGGGCCAGCTCGCAGCTCTTCGCCAATATCTCATCCCAATCTGCAGATGCTAGACCGTAAGTCTTCACTACTCAAAGCGGGGTGCCAGGGCCAGCAGCAGCCCCCCTCACCTGGGAGCTTGTTAGAAAAGAAGACCCTCAGGCCCAGCCTCAGCCCTTCTGCATCAGAACCTGCATGTTTACCACCCGCCGGGGAGTCCTGGGCCCACGACAGTGAGAAACACGTGTAGAATCAACTCCAGCGCCTTTTCCCCTCCCACCAGTGCAACTGCTCATTCCATTCCAGAGCTGGTCTTTTCTCTCCTGGCAGGAGTGTGGGCTGCCTGCCTCCCCAGGGGATGGGCGTGTGGTTTGGAAGCCAAGCAGTGCTCATTTGGTTTATTTATCTTCCTGAGACTTAATCTAGTTTGAATTTCAGATAACATTCTAAAAAGGCTTCGCTTGTTTTTCTTATCTGGAGTGCACTCGTGTTGAACAAAGTTGAGAAACATTTCTGCGGCTGATCGCGGAGCTTCAGACCCACCCTATGGGGGGCTGCCTTCCCAGTGATCTCTAAAACCCATCTGATTTGGACCCTTCCTGTGGTGAACATCTGTTGTTTGTCCACATGGCTCTCTTCACTTCCCTTTAGAAAAGGTCTCCTCCCATGGGAAGGAGGCTGCCAATCACAGCAGGCCCACCCTCTCCTCCACCCGTCACATGATGCAGGTCATGTGGTGGCCACATGACACAGGCCAGCCTCTGTAAAGCGTCTGTGCCCCTGGCCACAGTTGATTGGTCTGCTGTTGACACGTGACTGAAACTAGACCAATCAGAATTCTTCCTTCCCTGAGGCGTTTAAAATCAAAGCTGAGAAATTGTGTATCTGTTTTTCAGGGATCTCTAACCTGCAACGATGTCAGAGAAGTACTGCTACCTGGAGGTGCTGGCTCATGGCAGCCTGCCCTATGGAGGTACCTGCCTCCTGGTACTCTGCCCTGTAGAATTTTTCTGCCACACAGAGGTTCCCTGCCACATGGAGAATGCCCACCTGCAGGGGGAGGAATGACACCAGGCACAGAGAAACCTAGGTCAAAGTCGGAGCCACAGGGCGTCTCGGCTCCATTCCAGAGCCACGTTATACTTCCTGATGTCCCTGTACTCACTACAGTTCTTAGAGCTCCCCGAAGTCCTAACATATTCCCTTTTCTGTCTAGTTTGAATTTGATTTCTGTCTTTTGCAACAGAAAAAGTCCTAACACATTTCCATTTTGGAAATCTTCGGATAGCGGCCATGTTGGAGTACAGGATATCATCCTCCTTATTGCCATTCGGAGACTTTTCCAATCTCACTCCATGTCCCTCACCTTTTCCCATGGAAATTTAGCTCCTGCACTTGACTCTTCCAAGGTCCAGATATAGCCAGGGTTCTTTCACGCACCTGCTGGACTATTCCAGACACCTGTGAAGCTCTCCTGGGTGCCTGTTGAGCAATCCCAAGTACCTGCAGGATTCTTCCAGTTCTTTGGCGGTGGTTCTTTTTTGAGACAGGGTCCCACTCTGTCACCCAGACTGGAGTGCAGTGATGCAATCACGGCTCTCTGCAGCCTTGATCTCCCAGGCTCAGGCGATCCTCCCACCTCAGCCTCCCCAGAGGCTGGGACTACAGGCATGCGCAACCACGCCTGGCTAATTTTTTGTATTTTTTGTAGAGACAAGGTTTCGCCCTGTTGCCCAGGCTGGTCTTAAGCGCCTGGGCTCAGGCAGTCTGCTCACCTCGGCTTCCCAAGTAGCTGGGACTACAGGCATGCACCACCACGCTCAGCTAATTTTTTAATTTTTGTAGAGAGCAGGGGTCTCACTAATGTTGCCCAAGCTGTTCTAGAACGCCTGGGCTCAAACGATTTCCAGTCCTTTTGTTTCCCCCCAACACTTGAGTGTCGGCACTTCGATGACAACATTATCCCCATCTCATTGTTATAATTAGCATCTCTCTTTCCCCTCGCTAGGCTGTAGGCATTCCAGAGAGACACTGGGTCTGGTAGCGCAGGGTCCTAGTGGATTTCGGATCATAGAACATGCCCAACACGTGTTATTGATGGACCACCCAGACCCTCAGTGTGGATTTTGAACTCCGTGTTGGTGAACATACTGTGTTTCGGTGAATATTTGTGAATACTCTCAGAAAGGCCATAACCCACCTCCCTGCCTCAGCCTCCACCTCTGGAAAATGCAGGAAATAAAAGCTCTCCCTCATGGGCTTGTCAGGAGGACTCAGTGCCCACAAAACACTCAGGACAGTGTCTGGCATCCAGTAAGCATCTCAGAGCATTTTGTGTGTCATTTACATTTTCTTCCCCCCCACACACACACACACCTCCTCTGTTTCGCTCACCCTTGCCTTCTCATCTTCTCCTGCTATTTCTTCACCCCATCCCTGTCTGTCAGCCGAGGGAATCATTGGATAGCATGGGCACCCACCTCTGCAACAGGGAAATGCTTGGGGCGGGCTGTGTGGCAGCTGAGAAGATCTGCTGAGATGCACCTAAATAGAAGAAGGCTCCCTCCAACTCCATGTATCTATCCCATCTGCTTCTTTCCAACCTCACCCCCACTGCCCCAGTTTAGAGCCTCTGTCTAGACAGGTGCTGACCTCTGACCGTCTAGATGTAATCCCTGGTTTATCTCGCTGGGAGCACCAGGTGGAGACCCCTGCAGAGGACATGCGGCAGCTGCGCTGGCCCAGGGAGTTAGCGCAGGCTCCAGCATTCTCTCAGCCCCCAATCTTCCCTTACAAGGTGAAAATGCTCATTTTCTTTTGCACACGTGCTTTTGGCTCTGATGACTCAATTCCCACCCGTCAGAGTCTCTTAATAAACATGAGCGTGTGAGTAGTCAGTGCCAACTGTCTGGTTGTATTCTCTGAGCAGCCAGGTGAGCTTGGGCATGTCCTTCTGTCATCCAAGTGTGCAGCCCTGGACCCCAGAGTCAGGGCACTGGGCAGGGAGGGGCCCTCTTGGTGAAGCCCCTAGGTCAGCAGCTGGCAGCACACCTGGAAGCTGCTTCCTCACAGCTGGATCGTGCCACTAAGTTCCACCACGCTGAGCTTTCAGAGTGACTCAGTGTTGTCATCCTTCTCTTCGTATAAGGACAAGAGTCATTGGATTCAGGGCCCACCTTAAATCCAGGACGATTTTATCCCATGATTCTTCATTGATTACAACTGCAAAGACAGTACTTTCGAGTAAGGTCACGTTCACAGATTCTGAGTTTACCTGAAATTTGAGGGGAAACATTCTACCTTCTACCGTGTCCATCCCTCCCCTTACCGCCAGGACCCCAGTTCCAAGAGCCCCTTCTCTGCCCTCATGCCAGGGCCCTGGCACCCAAATTTATTGGGCCATTACATAAGAGCATTACATAAGAGTTCCCCACTCCCCTAAAATCTGATCTCTCCCAACATTTCAGAGCCCCACATGCCACTTAAAAATTCCCCAGAATTTATGGGAAAGAAAGGTACATGACATTGATGTTATCAAAATGTCCATGAAGTGACATCCACTTTTTGTTCTTCTGATTCATTTTGTGTTTTCTGGAGCAGGTCTTTAACACACTGGAAAGGCCTTCCTAAGAGGAACTGTTTATGATACAGAAAAGAACAGCGGCATTCAGAAAGGTTTATCTTTTAAGGTTTTTGTTTTGATTTTTAATTGCAGTAAAATATGATAAGAAAGTTTAGCATTTTAACCATTTTTGTTTTGGTTTGGTTTGGGGTTTTTTTGTTTTGTTTTTGACAGAGTCTCGCTCTGTCACCAGGCTGGAGTGCAGTGGCATGATCTCGGCTCACTGCAATCTCCACCTCCCGGGTTCAAGTGATTCTCCTGCCTCAGCCTCCCGAGTAGCTGGGATTACGTACCCACCACACCTGGCTGATTTTTGTATTTTTAATAGAGACAGGGTTCCCCCATGTTGGCCAGGCTGGTCTCCAACTCCTAACCTCCAGTGATTCACCTACCTTGGCCTCCCAAAGTGCTGGAATTATAGGCATGAACCACCATGGCTGGCCTGACTGTCCTCTTGTTCCAGGTTGTCTTTTCAGATACAGCAAACAGCCTTGGAGAAGGAAAGAGGTGGTGTCTCCCTACAGCGCAGAGAGCAGGTTTGGTTATTACCTAATATTTTAAAGATAATGTCTCCCTCTGGGGCAAAGGTTAGGTGTGTTTTCTTACCGCCCGTTATAAAGCATCTGCATCCCCTGAGCTCAGGGTTTTCCCTCGGTGATGCAAATTCACTGCACAGCAGCATCCACCTGGGCCCTCCACGTCACCCCCATGGGGTTTTGGGGACATAGGAAACCAGTGCAAACATTAAGCTTGTATTAACCATGTCTTCCATTCTCTGTATTCTGATGCTTTGCTATCTGGGACCTTGCTGACCCTGGAGGGACTGCCCCACCCAGTACTAGCCAATCCCCAGAGATAGTAAACCAGGCTCCTGCAAACATGCTTTTCAAATGCAAACCAACCAATCTTAAGCCCATGCCCCAGACACCTCCTCTATTGGGTTTTCACACTCCAGGCCACTATCCACCTGCCTAACCACCCTGGGAGCAAGTACCAGACAACTAGGGACACAAACAAGGCTTTTGCCCACATGTCCGCTGTCTCCTAAGCCTGCTGACAACGCCTGTGGCCCCTCCTCCTGGGAGCTGTGAGTAACAAACTGTCCTTTCAATGACAATCATTTCCTGATCTGTTGGCCTTACTATAACTCAAATATTGCATTAATACACCACATTTTATAGCAAAACTTATGCTGCTTGCTGTGCTGTGAGTAACAAAGTCCTTTGTCTCTGCCCTGGGAGTCTTGCATCATTAGGCAGCATTTGTCAAACTGGCAGGCTAACTGCTAGCCTAGGAGTAGGTAAAATTGCAGACCCTTCATAGCTCTTGACAAGACCCAGGTCTGCTGCTGCTGTGCGTTTCATAGGAACTGTGGTGTTCGATGGAAGAAACAGACGATCTGGAAACAGAGAAGATGCCTTTCCCGTCTCCCCCTGCTCAAACCGGGTGTGAGAGGAAGTTGGATCCACTGGAAAGAGCTGTGGGTGGGCAGGGAGCTGGGTTCTCTGGGTTTTTAGAAGGAGGAGGGAAGTTTGAGGTCAGAGGAGGATTTGTCAGTCCCAGCTGTGGAGTTCTCAAGCAGATCCTCTCAGACTTCAATGCGAACACGAATCGCCTGGGAATCTGATTCTGACTCTGGGTCCAGGCTGGGTCCCAAGATTCTGCATTTCCAAGGCTCTCCCAGGGGATGCCGATGCTGCAGGTCCTTGGACCACACTCGGAGGAGCCACTCACACTAGAAGATACACTCAACGTAAGGCCACACTCGCTAGCATGCCTGGAGGAGGGGGAGGGGAGGGCTTCCATACGGCTCCCACCCGGACCCCACTTCCTCCCCCTCACCGACGCACCCCAAGCATACGCAGCCTCGATTCCAATGTGTGCATCCGTTCAGCAACCAAAATAGGATTCTCAAGGCTGTGCCTCCCAGGGGACCCTAGGAATTTCCTGGAACAGACATGGGGTTGTCAGGATGGCCCTGGTCTCCAGTCCCCTCCTGACAATCCTACACCAGAAGGTTTATCTGGATCCCCCTCCAGCCTCCTGGAAGTCTGGCTGTGCATCAGTTGCCTGGCACACAGATGACAGCCATTAAATGCTTTTCGAATTAATGAAAAAAATCTATCAATCTATATTTGTGTATTTTGTTGCTCCAGGGGACAATCAAAAGAAAATAAATCCCCCAGCCGAAATAACTATACTGGTTTATGGCCTCTGTATTCGTTGATCTGCTCTTGTGGAAGCTGAGAAGATCCTATTTTTGCGCCCCCCATGCTCAGACCTGGGTTATTTTTTGTCTCCAAGCTCTCCTAAAGAGTTGACGTGTTAGCTGCGCGCAGTGACTCGCGCCTGTAATCCCAGCACTTTGGGAGGCCGAGGCAGGTGGATCAGGTGAGGTCGGGGGTTCAAGACCATCCTGACCAACATGGAGAAACCCTGTCTCTATTAAAGATACAAGACTAGCCGGGCGTGGTGGCGCATGCCTGTAATCCCAGCTCCTCGGGAGGCAGAGGCAGGAAAATTGCTTGAATCCAGGAGGCGGAGGTTGCGTGAGCCAAGATTGCACCATTGTACTCCAGCCTGGAAAACAAGAGCAAAACTCCATCTCAAAAAAAAAAAAGAGTTGACATGTCTCAGCCTATTACCACAAAGCCATGCCGTGCATTTAGTGAGAGGAGACAGTAGGGACAGGAGCTCAAGCAAGAGGCCTCCTCTCCTACAATGCCCGGGAAATAGTCACAAGGTGAGACGGCAAACAAGGGTGGGCCTAAAGGGTCGGCGGGGCTGCTCCTGAAGCAGCCACCAGCCGAGTCCTGTGCTCTCCTGGCATCCTGTGCTCTCCCCCCGGGTTTCCAGGGAAGCAAGTGTGGCAGCCCCACCTCTGCCCACCCTGTTGTCACTCCACTTCCAGAGAGGAGGGTGCGGGCTTGAACTCTGCAGCCCGTGTTTGCAGCTCTTTCAAGTGGGGGTGACCAAGTGGCAATTTAAAAGCCACTCACCTAAAGCTATGGGTCTGAGCCAAGCCTGAGCCCCCATTCTAACCCTGTAGAAATATTTGAAAGAGAATAGTCATCACATCTGGGGGGGTTGGGCTCAAGATTTTTCTAGCACTGACTCACTCACAGAACTTGGGCAAGTCTTGCAATTCTCTGGGTCTCAATTTCTGCACGGATGCATGGGGACAGTCATTGTAGACCAGCGTCACCTTCCCTTGTATGCTGGGGACTTGAAAGAACTATTACACACTCCAAAGTGACTAATTTCTAGCTTAATCATTTGTAACATCTTTCTAACATACTCACACAAGTTACCATAATTATAGCAGCCACCTCAAAAACAAGGACACTAGGATAATCATAATAAGAGTAAAAACAGAGTGCCAAAATATAGCTGATTTCGAAGGCGTTAATCTTCCTAATTCTTCTGTGTGGACAAGAGGCTGCAAGTATCGGTGAAAACATCATCCTCCTTATCATCACATATCTTTACAACACACTACATATTCTTTCCAAAACTGGCCATGCCATTTTGCCATCTTTCCCTGCTCCTGAGATAAGTAGAAAACTATCCTTATTTTCTCCAATTAGCACTTCTTTTAGGCATGGGAAACCTAGCAAGATTTGGGGAGGAAGGTGTACTGGGTTGAAGAGTGTCCCCCATCCCAAAATTCATGTCCAGCCAGAACCTCAGAATATGACCCTATTTGGAAACAGGCCTGTTGCAGATGTAAGTAAGATGAGGTAATACCAGAGTAGGGTGAGCTCTAAATCCAACAACTGCTGCCCTTTACAAGAGGAGAGGATACACAGTCGTACATACAGAGAAGACCATGTGAGGAGGGAGGCAGGGATTGAAGTGATGCACCCACACGCCAAGGAATGCCAGGGGTTGTCAGCTGGAAGAGGCAGGAGCGACCTCCACCCCACCCCAGAGCCTTAGGAGGAAGTGTGGCCCTGCCAATCAGGTCCGGGAGGCTAGAAGTCCAAATCAAAGAGGACTGTGAGAGAATAAATCTCTGTTGCGGAAGCCCCTGAGTTTGTGATACTTTGTCAGGGCAGCCCCAGGAAGCTAATACAGAGGGGGTACTGGGAAACGGGGAGCCAGAGCCTCAGAAGGGAGATCACAGAGGCTGCGGGAACTCAGCTGCCGCTCAGGTATCTGGAGAAGGCTCAAGGTTTCTCTGGTTGCACCTGATCCTTCCCAGGAGAGACACAGTGCAGTCACGAAGCCGGTAGGATCCCAGACCTCTCTGTCCACTCCCATCTAACCAGCCAGAGCCCGCCATCTCTGGCTCCACCCATGGAAGGAGGGCACCACCCGACCAAAGCAGAGAAGGCGGGATGAGAAGGGGCAACAAGTGTGCCCGATGTGCTCGCTGCTGACCAAAGCTTCCTTCAACAGAGTTTTATCCCGGAGGATTTCGAGGGTTTGTTTTGTTTTTTTGTTTTTTGGTTTTTGACAAAGTCTCACTCTGTCGCCAAGACTGGAGTGCAGTGGTGCGATCTTGGCTCACTGCAACCTCCGCCTCCTGGGCTCAAGCAATTCTCCTGTCTCAGCCTCCCAAGTAGCTGGGATTCTAGATGCCCGCCACCGTGTCTGGCTAATTTCTGTATAGTAGAGACAAGATCTCACCATGTTGCCCAGGCTGGTCTCGAACTCCTGATCTCAAGTGATCTGATTGCCTTGGCCTCCCAAAGTGCTGGAATTACAGGCATGAGCCACCGTGCCCAGCCTCATCCCAGAGGATTTTCCAGAATATTAAGCATTCATGTCCTCATCCTGCCATCCTCACGGAGCATCTGTCCTCCTGCCATCTTGTGCCTAAGTTTCCCACCCTTTTCCTCAGGTCCTGAGAGAGTCTTAATGGCCAACCCAAATCCTTCCTTCCTGTCCATCAGCAGATGTCAGCCCAGTTCCTGGCTGGCTGTATGTCCTTGTTCCACCTGTGGTAGGACCGCTTTGCTTTCTTCATCTATAAAGTGTGAATAACGGTAGCAGGAGCTACCTCTAGATACAGGCAGCAAGTTGGTGGACCAGGACACGGAGCACCCCGCACAGTGCCCGGAGCAGCGGCACTCAGTAAATGTGGGTTAACCTCTTTAACATGTTGAAAAAGGTCAAGGTGAACTGCATAGACCCAAGGGCAGTAAACAATGGCCCACAAGGTAAAAATGGTTTTTACATTTGTAAGTAGTTGAAAAAATTCAAAAAGAAAAATATTTTGTGATGTGAAATTCTCTGAACTTCAATTTTATGTTCATTAATAAAGTTTTATTGGAACACAGCCACACTCACTCATTTTCACATTGTCTATGGCTGCTCTCATGCTACACAGCAGAGCTGAGCAGTTGCAGCAGAGACTGCGTGCCTGCAAAGGCCAAAACATTTACTATCTGATGCATTACAGAAAAGGGTTGCTCATCTCTGACAGACTCAAGCCAAATGATCTAACTTCAACTCCTAGATGCAAGCCTTTTTAGCTGTTTGACTTTACACAAATTATCTTCCTCCATTTCATCTCTTTAAAATGGACATGATAGTCCTTATTTTAACATATTTTTGTGAGAATTAGATACATTATGATTTTAAGGTCTTAGTGCCGGCATATAAAAATACAATTGATGGGTTAAATTATTTTCATGTCTTTGTTTTAATGCTCATTCTTTCTCTTTAAATATCGCCATCCTTCTACACCAGAGTAAAATGTAAAAAAATTCTCAAGCCTTCTTTCCACTTGAAACACAAGAAAAGTTCTTTAAAACTGACTTATCATTTTCTTCTTTTCATCATTGTTCCACATGCAAACAGATCCAGGAAACCTTAGCTCAGACTTCTCAAATCCCAGATGGATTCTAATTTGTTATGTTGGAGAAAAAAAAAATCTGTATTCCCTAGCAGATGCACAAGGACTGTTTTGTTAGTCACATCTGCCACCTTCCTACTTTTCAGCACTAAAAGAACTTTTTGCAAGCTCTTCAGATCTTGATTCTGAAATGCAAAAGCAGAATGATGAGACATGTATTTCCCACCTTGCCAGAGATGTTTTCCTTCCTTACCTAAATGGAGTCTGGAGTTTACATTCAGTCATGCTCCGTAACACATAGAGGGGTCTGGCAGATCTGGAACAGGGGCCGGGGACATTGAAAGTTGCCCCCTAACACACTCTCACTTCTTCCATGTGATCAAGGTGTGGCTGGACACGTGGCTACTCAGCTAGAGACTCCATTTCCCAACCTGCTGCGCAATTCAATGTGGTCACGTGGCTAAGTGCACCCCCTGCCGGCATGTGAGTGGAGGTGATAGACACCACTCCTAAGTCTGGGCCTTAAGACACTGACCTCCTCCCTGTTCTTCACCTTCCAATGAACTGCACCCATGCAGATGAGAGTGAAAGTCCATATGATGGCAAAGCAACAAGATGGACAGAACCTGGATGCCTGAATAATCATGTGGAGCAGAGCAGCTCCATCACCAAGGATCCTTCATCTGAGGACTGGTATTTGAGAGAAAATAAACTTCTATATGCTTTAAACCACGGTGTAATTGGTTACTTTGTTACTGCAGCTTGGCTTTACTGTAACCAACAGAAAGCCTCTGAGTCCATTACCTTCTGTAGTTTACAGACAAGGAAACAGAGTGATTGGACAATCCTCCCCAAATCCCATACTTAGTTGCAGAATCAGGTCTGGAATCCAGTCTCTTACCCCGTAGCCCCATGCTCTGTCTGCTTAACTTGGGCATTATTTTTTTATTTATATACATATTTTATTTTATACTTCTCCCTTCTCTTCTCAAAGTGTTGAATTGGGCATTGTGTTTACTCTTTGGAGACAGGCCTGTGTCATTTCAGCTCTCTGAAATTATCACCTGGTGCTTGGCACATAGTGCTACTTGCTGCTCGGAACGTGCATCAGTCTGGGTCCAATCAAGAGAGAGAAACCACTGAGTGATTTGAACAGGGAAAGTTTTATATAAATAATCAGTAACTACAACAGGCTCGGGGTACGACGAATTGGCTGGCAAGAAGTAAAGAGAATTTTACAGAATATATGAATAGCAGATATGAATAACAGCCATTACCCCAAGGACTCGAATGGTACACCCAGAGAAACCCCCTTGCCCTGGGCTGAGATCCAGGTCTTGTTGAAGAGGGTGTGACTGTGGCTCGTAGAATTACAGAGAAGTGACTGTAGTACCATGCTAGCGGAACTTGCTAGAAGTCTGCCCTCTAGATGGCACCAGGGAAAGGTGTCCGTGGGAAGATGTCTCTGGAGGTTTTCTGCTACAAATTCACCTGAGGGGCTTCTGAGGGGAGCTGCTGGCCACACCGATGGAAATAAGCAAGCATTTTCCATTCTCATCTGGAACACATTTATGTTTAACCAGTGATCAGCTTTTGTCATCTGTTCTCTATTTTCTTCAGAGCCTTTTAAACTTTTTTTTTAACTTTGTGATTTGTCTCAAAATATGACTTTAAAATATACGCTCATTTTTAATACTTGGTCATAAAAAAACCACCAAATCAGCAAAAAAGCACAAAGTCAAGGCTCAAGCTCAGCTGCTCCTATTCAGTTACAATTTGGGAGGAACTTTGCTCAGAAACTGCATTCCTTTTCTATTGTTGTATAACAAAGTATCATAAACTTAGCAACATGATCCACATTCACCATCCGACCTTCTCCATGGGTGGAGAGTCCAAGCTCAGCTTGGCTGAGTCCTCTGCTCACTTGGCAAGAAACCTCGTCAGGGCGTTGGCTGAGGCTGCAATCTCAGCAGAGGCTCCAGGTTCACTTCCAGCTCATCCAGGTCATTGGCAGAATTCAGCTCCTGGCAGTGTAGAGCTGAGGTCCCATTTTTTGGCTGGTAGTTGGCTGAAGGTCATTCTCAAATCCCAGAGGCCATCATCAGGTCCTCAGCGCCTGGCGCCCTCGCAGTGACAGCTTATGTCTTCAAAGCCAGTGTGAGAACCCCTCTCTAGTCTCCTACTGCTGAGTCATGTCACAGACCACAAGTGAGGGGGTAGTTGTCCCACCGTGTACTGTCCCGCTGTGTACCTGACTGTACACAGGCCTACCCACACTCATGGAAGGAGATTCAATGGGGCGTGTCCGCCGGTGGACTGGGTCTTGAAAGCCACCTTAGGACTTAGGATTCTGTATGTGGCAGAAACTCATTGAAAGCCTGTGGAAATTAGAAAATTTTCCTTTTTTTTTTTTTGAGACGGAGTCTCACTCTGTCACCCAGGCTAGAGTACAGTGGCCGGATCTCAGCTCACTGCAAGCTCCGCCTCCCAGGTTCACGCCATTCTCCTGCCTCAGCCTCCCGAGTAGCTGGGACTACAGGCGCCCGCCCCCTCGCCCGGCCAGTTTTCTGTATTTTTTAGTAGAGACGGGGTTTCACCGTGTTAGCCAGGATGGTCTCGAACTCCTGACCTCGTGATCCGCCCGTCTTGGCCTCCCAAAGTGCTGGGATTACAGGCTTGAGCCACCGCGCCCGGCCTACCCAGCTAATTTTTTGCATTTTAGTAGAGATGGGGTTTTGTCATGTTGCCCAGGGTGGTCTCAAACTCCTGAGCTCAGGAGATCCGCCTGCCTTGGCCTCCCAAAGTGTTGGGGTTACAGGCATGAACCATTGCGCCCGGTCAGAAAATTTTTCTAGTGCAGGTCTATCTTCTCTCCATTCTAGAACTCTCTCTCATCCTCCAGATGAGCCAAGATTCTTTCACTGTTCTTCAACTTTCTTCAGCCTCAACCTCTTCCCCACCTCTTGATTCCTTAAAGGGCTTTTATTTTCAGAATCAAAAGAAAACCAAACCCAGGTCTTGCTTCAGGGCTCTGTCCCATTTCTGGTGCCCTCTTTGGACTCAGTTTACATGAAAAGAGGTAACAAGTGTGCTCATTTCCTATGGTTGCTGAAACAAATTACCACAAACTTGGTGGCTTCAAACAACAACAATTTCTTGTCTCACAGTTCTGGGGACTGTAAGTCCAAAATCAAGGTGTCAGCAGGACCGCGCTCCCTCTGAAGCTTTTAGGAGGGAATCCTTCCTTCCTTGCTTCCTCCAACTTCTGGTGGCTCCAAGCACTCCTTCGTGATGGCAGCCTCACTCCAATCTCTGTCTCTGTCTTCACATGGCCTTCTCCCCTGCACTGGTGTCTCAAACTCTCCTCTGCCTTTCTCTTTTCAGGGCACCAGTTATTGGATTTAGGGTCTGCCCTAAATCCAGGATGCTCACATCTTGTGATCCTTAAATTAATGACATCTACAAAGACCCTTTTTCCAAACAAGGCCACATTTAGAAGTTCCAGAGTTAAGACATGGACATATCTTTCTGGGAGTCACACTATTCAACTGACTACAACCAGGGAAATGGCTGAAGTGTGCCTCTATAACACAGGGGTCATGACAGCAGCCTTCCTTGCCGCTGGGATGAGAACTTAATTAGCTGCAAAACCCACACGTGGCAGGGGGTCCAGCCCTTAGTAGGCGCTGGGTAAATGCATTTTCACCTAAGCCCGAATATTATCCCAACCCAAATGTCCTTCCAGCCCCAAGGCCCCACGGCCAGGGCACTTCATGGACGCTGTGTGGCTCTCCTGATCACACCCTGCTAATACTTTCCGTAAGATTTGAGAATGGGACTGGGGTTTGAGGTGGGACATGTGCCCGGAAAGCCATTCTCTATCCCAGGCCAACTGGCTCCAACTCAGCATAGGAAAGCATGGGACCCCTGCTCCAACCTTGGGGAAGGCGTGAAGGTTCCAGGAAACAGTGCACATCAACCCAGCCCCGCCCATCCAGTTCCTTTCACCTGTGGGGGCTCCTGACCTCACCAAAAGCCAGAATCTGTGGGGGAAATGGGGCAGATACGGGGAATGCTGTTGGATGGAAGAGTTGAGAGGGATGGAGTGTGAGGCCAGGTGGGTGGTCCTGGACCCTGGGCAGAAGGAGGACCTGACTGCCCCTGGCATCTTAGTTCTAGGCCAGTCCCCTCTAAAGGGGGGTTAATCCTACTTCTGTGCACTTCACAGAGTCCTGGTGGGGAATCCCCTTCAATAACCAGGAAACAAAGACTGAAGGTATATATTTCAATGGGACAGACTGTTCTTTAAGTTGTAAGATAAAACCACCATCCACTGATTTGCATCTTGTACCTTTTTCAATTCTGCTTCCCACCACCCCCCTCCCCACACTGCAATGAAGGAAAAGCAGATATTTTTCAAAGTCACACCATATGAATGCCAGGGACTTTTTATTTTTTCTTTTTTAGAGATGGGATCTCACTCTATCGCCCAGGCTGGAGTGCAGTGGTGCAATCATAGCTCACTGGGGCCTCAACTTCCTGGGCTCAAGCTATCCACCCACCTTGGCCTCCCAGGAACCTGGGACCACAGGCATATGCCACCACTTCCAGCTAATTTTTTTTTTTATTTTTTGTAGAGAAGAGGTCTCACTCCATTGCCAAGGCTGGTCTCAAACTCCTGGGCTCAAACAATCCTCCCACCTTGGCCTCCAAAAGTGCTGGGATTAAGGCATGAGCCATGGTGCCAGCAAAGGCTCCATCATCTTCAGAGTTTATTTTTAAAGTGACTTCAACTGGAAAAATCGTCTTTGTCTCTCTTTGTCTGTCATCCAGATGTGGCTTCCTCTTCATGTGCTAGCAAATCCCCCCTTCTCGTACCGGAGCCCCACCAACCCCGTTAGGGTCCTCAGGCACCCCTCCCATCCTCATTGCAGCAAAGGAGTTTCTGCTGTTCTCCTTCCACAGCCACTTTCTTCAAACACACCAGTCACCTGAATAGTTTATTTTATTCAACATCTTGATCAGTTAATGATATCTGCAACAAAGCTCGCAGTTATTAAATAAACCATTTGAGTCACCCCCTAAAGACAAGTAACAATCTGGCTGAAAGCCCAACTACCTCTGGCTATTTTAACAAGAAATAACTGCAGGCTATGAAGGGGAACATAGATGATTCAGCTTTGTAACAAGAAGAGTCAAAATCAACAGCAGAACAGGGAACGTGTTTTCCTTGATGAGAGGAAGCCCTCTGCCTGAGTATTCCGAGATTAGGAATCCGGTTTATGAGGCACAAACAATCCACTTTTTGCTCACAGAAGCATGGCACCTTAATCAGGTGTTAGAGCAAGATATTTAAAGCTCCCCGACTAAATGGCGTGGAGAGTGATCCATTATGCTTTGTTAATTACGAAATTAGCTCATCTTCCACCCTTGATGGAGCTCGGCCTCTGGGCACTTGGAGCCCCTGTGGTGAGGCGGGGACAACCTCTGGGGGCTGGAACTGAGCTGAGAGTGACCAGGAACCAGATGAAGATCCCCAACTGTGTTGGGGGGAGGGACAGGGACAGAGCGTTAAGCAGGAGAATCCTATGTGTGGGTGATCTAAGGGCTGTGCGTCTGAGTCTTGTGCTGAGCTGGCCAGGGGCCCAGCACTCAGGGGACAGGACCTGGGTGGGCGCCCACCCCCACTCTGCTCCAGACCCAGAGTCCACTCTAAGGAGCGTTCTGAAACCTTGGGTCTGGCTGGGCAGATGAGTGCTTATCCTCCGAATGAGGCCTTGGCATTTTGGTCACCACTGTGTGACACAGGTGTTCAGACGGTGTCATGAAGGGAAAATAAAAACTTGAGACCCCAGTTCACTCTGCCAGAAGGAAAACAAATGAAGCTGAAAGCTGAGTCATGCAGGAAGCTGCCTTTCCTTTTGCTCCTCAGCAGAGAGCTACAGAGAAAAGGTTAAAACCTCCTCAGGTAGCAGCTCTGCGTTCACCTTATCTTGGGTGACGCGCGGATTTACTGAGCACAAGACCATACGATGCGTAACTGATGATTCCTGTCTGCTCCTTTTCCCTCGCAGCCTGTGGATTCCGTAAGATCACACCCTCCCCGTCCCCTCCAGCCCGCTTCTCCCCTTTCAACAGTGAAGCCCTTGAAATCGCCCTTGAAGAAAGGCACAGACCACAGACTGCCTCTGTGATCCTATGGTTTTGTTCTTTCAGGCATGTCCTCAACTTTGGCAAAATAAACTTCCAAGCTGATTGAGATCTGTCTCACACACTTTTTGGTTTACAGTGTCAACTAGACAAGGCCGGTTCACGGTTTTGTTTTGTTTTTTTTCCTATTTAGGTTTATTTTTATACCTGTAGCACCAGTACATGTTCCTATGTGAAAATCTTTCTGTTTGAACTTCAGAGCTCTCACTTGCTAAGTCACGCTAAAACCATTCTAGGGGCTGGGAGAAGCAATGTGGTATAGAGGAACTTGTGTTCCCACCAACAGAATTCACAAGCTGAAGTCCGAACCCCCAGTAACTCAGACTGTGGTTGTATTTGGAGACAGGATCTTTAAAAGGTAATGAAGTTAACATGAGGTCATTAGCACGGGCCCTAAAACAGTATAACCAGTGTTCTACTAAGAGGAGGAAAAGAGGACTCGGAGAGGCTCGAGGGAAGACCAAGTGAGGACCCAGGAGGAGGACAGCATCCACCAGCCACGGAGAGAGGCCTCCGGAGAAACCAGCCCTGCCGACACCTTCACCTTGGACTTCTGCTTCCAAAACAGTGAGGAAGTATTTCTGTTACGTAGGCACTGGGTCTGCGGTACTTTGTTCTGGCAGCCCTCGCCGATTCATACAGAATGCTATTTCTCCTTCTATGACCAAGTCATTCCCAAGAAAAACTCGCTTTTTGAGACAAAAGCCTTTTCAAGGGACAAAGTCCAGGGCCTGTTCACCAGCAGGGGTGGGCCTAATCACACCCACACTGCCCCAAGTCTCCACACTTCATGCTTTTTATTACTGAAACACCACATGCCTTTTTGATTGAGTGAGAAGCTGTTTCTGATTTATACTTTATAAATTCAGATTTTCACATTGGAGTTTGTTTACAGTGATACTCACCTATGCTCAGGCTTACAAAACTCCTCTCCAAATGTCTTTTCTTGGGTCCAGTGATGCTGTGTTGCATGCTGAGCTGGTCAGCAGTTGGATGAGGTTCTCTTGGTCAACGTGGGCAGCCTCCAGGGTTAGAGGAAGCAGGGACTCTATTCACCCTCCCCCATCACCTCCCTACAAGATAGTCACGGTGAAAGCATGTCTCATCCTAAATGCTGCCAAATGGACACTTAGCAAGCTGTCCCCAAAGTCGTCATGTAATCTGTCCCTCTAAGTTTTAGAGGGGCCCACGCTCACTCCTTGGACCTCCAGACAGGCATTGGCGTGAGTTCTCTCCATGGCCTGAGCCCTGGCCTGGAAGCTAACCTGAAATGTATTCATTGGTATTGGTCTTTTCGAAGACTTTATAAAAGGAAAGCAAATAAAGGATCTTGGATGCTTATTTCCATTCAAGTGGATCACACTGCTGTCCAGTACACTTTCCCCAGCCACGGACGCTGGGCCAGACAGCAGGGTCCCTGGGGTCCACCTTTCATAGGAAAGATCCAGCCTCAGTTGCCAATGCCCTTCCCAGGGAGTCTTAGGAGGGTGGGCAGGGAGCAAAGGGCGAGCCCCTCCACCAGCTTAGAGTCAAGTAGAAGAAAAGCCACTTGTTTTTTATTTTGAGATGGAGTCTCGCTCTAGTGCAGTGGTGCGATCTCGGCTTACTGCAAACTCCGCCTCCCAGATCCAAGTGATTCTCCTGCCTCAGACTCCTGAGTAGCTGGGATTACAGGTGCCCACCACCACGCCTGGCTAATTTTTGTATTATTTTTAGTAGAGATGGGGTTTCACCATGTTGGCCAGGCTGCTCTTGAACTACTGACCTCAAGTCATCCTCCTACCTCAGCCTCCCAAAGGGCTGGGATTACAGGCCTGAGCCACTGTACCCAGCCAAAAAGCCACTTTTAAAACTGCCCAGCCCCACTTCCAACTCTGCAGTCACCAAATAGATTATTTTACTAAAAGAGATTATTTCACTGTTAACAATTTCTTATACTTCAGGTCCTTAAACGGCACAGTGAAGAGCAGTCATGAAACAGACCCCATGAAGCACGGTCACACTAAATTCCCATGAAGAGAAACACACTACACATGTATGTGATTCAGGATAAGTTGTATTTGGTGCCAGAATTTTAAAGAGCACGATTTTGACACTAAAATGTATTCTTCTCTGTATTAATGGCCTACATTTTCAGAATTTTCACGGTTTTCTAAAAGATTCCTCTTTGGAAAGAAGAAATCTGAAAGTCCTATCATGCCGTTCCTCCTGGTGTCTCTAAATGGGAAACAGATAAAGATGCTTATTGGTAATTTCTCATCGTATACTTAGTAACATTTTTATAAAACGCAATATAATTTAAAAGGTCTACTTTGGCCGGGCACAGTGGCTCACGCCTGTAATCCCAACACTTTGGGAGGCCGAGGTGGGCAGATCATGAGGTCAGCAGATTGAGAACATCCTGTCTAACACGGTGAAACTCTGTCTCTACTAAAAATACAAAAAATTAGCCGGGTGTGGTGACGGGCGCCTGTAGTCCCAGCTACTTGGGAGGCTAAAGCAGGAGAATGGCGTGAACCCGGGAGGTGGAGCTTGCAGTGAGCCGAGATCGCGCCACTGCACTCCAGCCTGGGTGACAGAGCGAGACTCCGTCTCAAAAAAAAAAAAAAAAAGAAAAAAAAAAGTCTACTTTAAAAAACTATTTATGGTTGCTCATCAGTAATTCTTATCTCCAAAAATAAAGCATTCTATTTTCTTGTGTAAAATGTACCAAAACGTATAATAAATGTACCTTTATTTCTAGGTGAAAAGATGGGTACTATACGCATAGGTTTTTCTTTTTTCATGACTGGTGGTCTCAGGAAAGTGGTGGGAGAAGGGGCTGCTGCACAGGGTCCCAGTTCTTTGGAGGCTGGGGACATGGATTTGGAATGAGATGGGACCACCCGTGTCCCAGGCACCTCCATCATGTGGAGTAGCTGGGTCAGAGAGCACAAGAGAAGAGGTGAGCAGATAGAGCAGGAAAAGGGGCCCGGCATGATCCGGATGGCGGTGCAGAAGCAGAGGCTGTGGGCATCAGGAGGAGAGCTGGGGATAAAGTACTGGGTCATCCGTGTGACTGCAGACACCAGCCAGGACGGTGTCAAGAATAAGGTGGAGAGAAGGGACAGTTTGGGAGCTGCCATGTTCCATGAGGACAGGAGGGTTGGAGTGACAGTGGATGACAGAGGAAAAAGGGGGACCATGGAGTCCAGAGGCTCAGCCTATGGTGGGCATCCCAGAGGGGATGTGAGTTTGAAGAAAGGAGAGGGAACGGTGTGGAAGGGACAAGGAGATGAGGAGGGCTGGGACAGGTGGGGCAGGGTGCAGGATGCAGGTTCCACTGGGGCAGGAAGGGAGGCGAAGGCTGGCGGATCATAGAGTACCAGCTCCTGGTGCCGCAGCCGGCATCCTAGGTGGCACCGTGGCCGGTTAGAAAGGGTGGGAGGAAAGGACAAGAGTCTGGGTGTGATGACAGGCCAGGAGGCTTTTCAGGAGGCCGAGGCGAGCAGGGGTATGTGCTGTGCCAGAGGCAGCCCTGGGACCAGCCCCCATCAGTCCCTGTCCCTGGCTTACTGTCCTCCCAGCACTCAGCATGACCTGCTGTCTTGAAATCTGCTTGTCTTATGTCTGTCTGCTTCACAGGGCAAAACTCCAGGGGTCGGGCATGACCTGTTCACTGCCATCATCCCCGGCACCCGCGCCAGTGCCCGGCACAGAACAGGTGCTCAGTAAACTGTACTGTGGGCAGTTCGAGATGAGAGGTATGGGGCTCAGGGGCAAACCACAACCAGCACTTGGGGGCAGTGGTCCCAAGGGGAAGTGCTGGGAAGACCTCAGTGGCCCCATCTCCCTTGGGGCTGGAGTCTGGAGGAGCTGGGCCCTTTCCTGCCCTTGCACCTTGAAGGCCCTTTCTTCTGTTAACCAGGCTTACTCTGCAGCACCACAGCTCCCCGGGCCCTGCCCTTCAGTTGTCACCACCGCCTCTGCACACCCCACCGGCCCCGGGCTACTTTCTCTGCCTCCCCATAGGTAGTGCAGGGTGCAGAGTCAGCATCTGATGGTAGTTTAAGGAATGAACAAATGAGAACTTCTGCAGGACCCAAGAGTTTTGTTCCATTTTGCTCTGCATCTTGTCTTTAAAGGGGGGATTCATTCATCTTGTTAACAAATGTGGCAGGTGATCAGAACACTGGACAATATATTCGAATGTCAGCTCCAAGTCATGCTGCAGAGCAGAACCACCCTTACCTCACATGCAGCCTGGTGCAAATACAATACACCATGCAATGTGTCAGGGTCATATAGCAAGTTCATCGGAGTGAGAATTGCGTGACTGATGTCAGTGACATCCTCAAGTTTCTGCAAATGATCCTGCCTCCGTGGCACTACCGTCAGGCGGTCCACCAGCAGTAATCCATGTCTACGTTTCATTGTGGAGAAAGGAATTCTATCTCACTTTTAAAATTATTATTATTATTATTATTTGAGATGGAGTTTCAATCTTGTTGCCCAGGCTGAAGAGCAATGGCACAATCTCGGTTCACTGCAACCTCTGTCCCCCGGGCTCAAGAGATTCTCTTGCCTCAGCCTCCTGAGTAGCTGGGATTACAGGCACCCACCACCACACCTGGCTAATTTTTTGTATTTTTTTTTTTAGAAGAGATGGAGTTTTGCCATGATGGCCAGGCTGGTCTCAAACTCCTGATCTCAAGTGATCCACCCACCTCAGCCTCCCAAAATGCTGGGATTACAGGCATGAGCCACCGTGCCCAACCTCTATCTCACTTTTTAACATGCTACAATTTAATACCACCTGACATGTTGTACATAGGAATCAGGATAGATTTGGGATAAACGAGTCTTAATGAAAGGATACATTCTCTCCCTCTAAAGTCTAAAGAAAACTGACCCTCAGCGCACATGGGTGGGAGCCACAGGAGAGGTCGGCTCCCTTCTGAGGTGCTGCCTGCTTTTGCTGATGGTCTTTGATCTGCAGCTCCACTTACGCACACCCTGAATACCATTAGGTGTGCCTAAACCTTCCGCCAAACACAGGATTTGTTGGGACAAAGTTATTGCAGACAAGGGACGTGATATTGTGAAATATATATTTGGTCTTCAACCCCGCCTCCTGGCATACAACTCCTAAAATCTGTGGAATCTCCAAAGTGAGTTCTTTCTTTATGCGCATGATTGGCTGATGGCTCACATAGCTTCAGGATGGGGTTGGTCACTGGAAAGCCCAAGGCAGGATTAGAGGGGTGGGACCTTCAGCCCAGCCCAACCTTGGAGGTGGGGAGAGGGGCTGATGGCTTAGGTAATCACTAATGGCCTTCATGATTTAATCAATCATGAAGCTTCCAGAAAAAAAAAAAAAAAAACTAAAAGGACAGGGCTTAGAAAGTTTCCCGGTAGCTAAACACATCGAGACCAACAGGAATGCCAACAGGAGCTCATTCGCAGGCAGGGAGGGGACGTACCCCAACTCCGTGGGGGCATAAGCCCCCATGCTCCAGACCCTTCCAGACCTCTGTATCTGTCTTCCTCTGACTGTTGGTAGCCTTTAAAATATCCTTTGTAATAAACTAGTAAACATGAGTGTTTCCCTGAGTTCTGTGAGCCATTCTAGCAAATTAACTGACCCGAGGAGGGGTTGTGGGAACCCTGATTTATAGCCAGTCAGTCAGAAGCACAGGCAAGATAACCTGGGGCTTGCACCTAGCATCAGAAATGCGGCAGGGTGGGGGCAGTCTCGGGGACGGAGCCCTCCACCTGTGGGATCTCACACTATCTCCAGGTAGACAGGGTAGCGATGGAATGAGAACGCAGAGCTGGTGTCTGCTGCAGGACTGCTTGCTCGCTTTTTGGTGAGGAAAAACCTCCACACATTTGGTCATAGCAGTCTTCTGTGTTGATTCTTGTTGTGGTGGAAGAGCAAAGGAAAAACTGGGTTTTTCCCTACAAGGGGGAAGTGAAACAGGAAATTCTCCCATGGTCAACATACCTGAATCCTAGAGAGTGTGCATACTTACATATTTTCCTTTAGAGAGGCAAGGTAGGATTCCGTCTCCGAGGAAGACACGTCTGAGTCTAATTTGGCCAAGTAGCGGTAGACGTAGGAAAACGTCTTGAAGGGGATGCGAGCGGGCCCGCCCTCCGGATCGTCCGTGAGGATCTCACACAGGTGCTTCAGCGCAGTGTTCAAGGACTAGGAGCACCACAGCCAGGTGGGGAGAAAAACAGTTACTCCTGGCATCGCTCACATTGAAAATAGGCACCAGCAGAATCAACACTCTAGCATATCTGACAGAAATTCTCCAAAAAGTACGCTCTCCATCTGAACTGAGAACTAGGGGAATGTACAATTGCCATAACGAAAAATCAAAAGAAAAGGTTTGAATGGAGTGCAATTGACCAGGAAAAAATTCTAATTCACAGATCTTATTTTCTATTCAAATAGAAATGACTGTTACAGACAAAAGGAAGTATCAATGTCTTTAAAACCAACTTCCTAAGCTAATGCAGAACTGTGCAGCCCCAACTGGCCCAGAGACACACCCGGGGATGTGCCCAGGGGCTGAATGAACTCTGCCACCAGCCAGAGGTGCTGCCTGCAGAGGGCAGGGCTGGCAGCCAATGGCCTGCATGCCTACAAGGAGGCCCTGGGTGTCAGCCGATGCCCACCAGGCAGAAGGGAGGGCTCTGTCCTGGCTCCATCCCTGTTCACACAGAAGGCTCTGGGCTCTGTCTTAGCTCCGGGACAACACCTGGACTTCCTCCCTGCAAACCATTCATCTCCCTCACACTCTTCCAAACTGCTGGGCTCACCTCAGACAGCGGCCCACCCTCCGCTTTCAGAGGGAAAGCCTGTCCTCTGAGCAACCTTCCTGCCTCCACACGGCAGACGCTTTCAGCACCTGCCCTCCCAGCCAAGGCCCTGGTTGGGGCAGCTAACAGGCCAAGGTCATCTTCATGAGACCAGAGGCTTCGTGGTGCTGGAACTGCAGGGCTTGGGCACCAGGGCCCCCCGGGGCCAGCCCGTGGCCTCCCACCTCCAACTTGCTCAATTCATCCTTGTTGAAAAAACATGAGCTGTTTTGTGTGTGTGTTTGTTTGAAGGAGGTGGGGGAAACCTTGTAACACAAGATTACTATCTTTTCAAAAGAAAATGCATAGCCCAGGTCTCCTTTTCTCCTTCTGCACCAAGACATCACGGTGACCTGCAGCCTTCAACACCCTGGCCAGGGTAAGCTGGGGGGGCAGGTGTCCTAATTCCGCAGCTGGCCTATGGGACCCTCCCCTTGGTCCCCACCTCGAGTCCCTTCTGTGAAGCCCGTCCTTGCCAGAGTGGCTCTCTCGTACCTGCCTGGATGGTCACACTGCCTACTGATGAAGGTGAGCTCACACGGGTGGCTGCTGAAATGTACCCCCCCTTGCCAACACACACACATGGCAACAGCCCTTCATTCCCTCCACATTTGCCAAGTGCCTGTTACACACCAGGATGTAGCAGTGAACAGACGACTAAGCCCTGCTCAGGTGGAGATCCCAGTCGAGTGGGAAAGCCACAACACCTGGATTCTAGGGTGCTCTGGAAGGGGGCATGCCTGGAGCAGCAGGCAGGCAGTGCCGGGATGGAGGGTGACATTTTCAACCGGGTGGTCAGGGAAGGTCAGAGCAGGTAGCATGTAAGCACAGACCCAGGGGGAACGAGCCAGTCATGTGGGATGCTGGGAGAATTCCAGGGGTACTTCTGTGTGTTCCAGAAACCGCCAGGAGCTCCGGGTAGCTAGAGCAGGCCATGGAGAGGCAGGAACGTGGGAAATGAGGTCAGCGGGATGGGGTGGGGGGCAGATCACGGGGGTCTTTACAGACCCAGGTTGGACTTGGGCTTTGGCTGGGTTCTATGGGAAGGTGTCAAAGGGTTTTAAACAAAGACAGAGCACTGTGGAGTGTTTCTAAGGAGTCCTTCTGCCGATGTGTGAACAGGAGGAGGCCCCAGTGATGAGGGCGGAAGGCAGGAACCCAGTGATGAGGGCGGAAGGCGGGAAGCCAGTGATGAGGGCGGAAGGCGGGAAGCCAGTGATGAGGGCGGAAGGCGGGAAGCCAGTGATGAGGGCGGAAGGCGGGAAGCCAGTGATGAGGGCGGAAGGTGGGAACCCAGTGATGAGGGCGGAAGGCGGGAACCCAGTGATGAGGGTGGAAGGCAGGAACCTGGAGAGGAGGCTGCTGGAATAATACAGCCAGGGGCCTGGGTGGCGGCAGCCACTGGGAAGGGCCAGACTCAGCCTCTCCTGAAGGTGGAGTTACCAGAACTCGCTGTTGGCTGCATGTGGGCAGGGACAGAACCATGAAAAGTGGCTCCACTGTTTGGAGCCTGAACAGCTGCAAGGGTAGATTTGCTATCAACTGGGAAGTTCCAGAGAGAAGCTGAGTTTGGGGTGGCTTCCACTGACATGTCTGTCAGGCACCCGGTGGAACTGGTGACTCAGGTCGCTACTTAGTAGGCCTAGCACTCACAGAGGAGACTCGGGAGCATGGGCGAGAGGGTGTATACAGGCGGGGTGGTGTACACAGGTGGGATGGGGTACACGGGGGGGATGGGGTACATGGGGGGATGGTGTACACGGGAGGAGGATGGTATACATGGGCAAGATGGTATACACGGACGGGATGGGGTACACAGGAGGATGGTGTATATCAGGGGATGGTGTATACTGGGGGATGGTGTACACGAGGGGATAGTGTACACGGTGGGGGATGATGTATATGGGGATGTGTACATGGGGGCATGGTGTATATGGTGGGGGATAGTGTACATGGTGAGGATGTATACATGGGGATGTACATGGGGGATGGTGTATATGGGGATGGTTACATGAGGGGATGTGTACATAGGGGATGGTGTACATGGGGGGATGGTGTACATGGGTGGGGTGGTGTACACGGGCAGGGTGGTGTACACGGTGATAGTGTACACAGGGGGATGGTGTATACAAGGGAGATGGTGTACATGGGGGGATGGTGTACACGAAGGGGAAGGTGTACACGGGCAGGGTGGTGTACACGGGGGATGGTGTACATGAGGAGGATGGTGTACATGAGGGGATAGTGTACACGGTGGGGGATGGTGTACATGGGGGATGGTGTACATGGGGGGATGGTGTATATGGGGGGATAGTGTACATGAGGGGGATGGTATACATGGGGGATGGTGTACATAGGGGGATGGTGTACATGGGAGGGATGGTGTACATGGGTGGGGTGGTGTACACGGGCAGGGTGGTGTACACGGGGATAGTGTACACAGGGGGATGGTGTATACAAGGGAGATGGTGTATACAAGGGGGATGGTGTACATGGGGGGATGGTGTACATGGGGGGATGGTGTACATGAAGGGGAAGGTGTACACGGGCAGGGTGGTGTACACGGTGGATGGTGTACACAGTGGGATGGTGTACACAGGGATGATGGGTGTACATGGGCAGGGTGGTGTACATGGGGGAAGGTGTACACAAGGGGGATGGTGTACATGAGCAGGATGGTGTACACAAGCAGGATGGTATACACGGGGGGCATGGTATACACGGGGGGATGGCATACACGGGGGGGGGATGGTGTGTACGAACAGGATGGTATATACAGCTGAGCCCCATGAGGTTGCTGAGGTGGGAGGACAGTGCATGGACACACCATACCACCAAGAGCTGGGGAGTGAGGGACCAGCAAGGGGACCTGGAAGGCACGGCCAGGAGGGAGGCTGCTGGTGAGTGAAGAAAAGCGTTTCCTGGTGGAGAGAGCAATCTCCTGTGTCAAAGCACACAGGACAGGCCAGGAAGGACAAGGACTGGTGGGTGGCACAGGATTTCCTCGGAGCCCAGTGCTGTGCTGGAGCCGGCTCATGAGCCAACTGCGAAGTTTCCAGCAGTTGTGTGAGCTGGAGGACTTCACCTTGGCAGCCTGAACTCAGCTGCAGTGGGAGTATTTACACCACATCACTTGGCAGACATGGCTGAGAACCAGGACCTTCCCGAGCAGGCTGGTACCCCGCAGGCTGCTGGGGTGGGGTGTGAGGGCAGACTGAGAGCTCCAGCTTGCAGCAGCCATGGAGGCGGCTGGCATCCCTGGGGAATCGCCTGCAGGGATGAATCCGGGGCTGTGCTTCTGAGGGAAGCGCAAGAAACAAACACAGTAGGGCCAGCGCCGAGCACCGTCCCCACAGGAATGCTGCAGACGCAGGGAAAGGGCCGCCACGAGCCAGGCCAGGCCTGTCTGGCTCCACAGCGGCTGTGTCAGGAATAAACCCCACATCCTCAGGGACAGGAAAGGGCTCTGAGCCCGCTCCAGGCTATGGGACAAAATGAGCCCCCCTACAGAACACTGTGGTCAGAGCAAGGCTGATAACACAGCCCGCTGTCCTCCTCTGGCAGTGAGAATAATGACAGTCACCTCATGTGGTTACTGTGAGGAGCAGAGAGACACCCTGGCCAGGCCCAGAGGGTCTCAGCAATCACCCAAGTCACCCAGCCAGGACTGGAGCGCAGCTGGTGGGCCTCTGAGCTCATCCCAGTGACTACTCCGTTTTTTTATGTCTAGCAGCTGCCAGGTGGGCTACAGGAACAAGACCCGGGGCAGAGACGTCGCCTACTTGGGGACCCAGACATTTGGCTGCAGGAGATGGAGCCCTGAACAGAACTGAGCTCCCTGTCCCCAGCGGCCTGATGGAGCAGTTCCTCCCATTTCCACCCGCTTCCCATGCCAGCAGTGCCGGTGGGCTGGCGGCTGCACCTGGTGCTGCTGAGGTGGACGGCATGGTTAGCGGGTGAGTGCAGCCCCCAGGGCAACGTGATGCTCTCTCTAGGGAAAGTGCAGAACCCGTTCTGTGGAGCTGCGGGCACCGCTCCAGGACCGCTGCACACGTGGCTCCCCTAAAAGACTGTCCCCAAGAGAGGACTTGCTCAAAGTAGAGTCGTGTATTTCACAATCCATGTTGCTTGCTTGAAACTTTCAAAGACATGTTGTTATGACGGGATTTGCTTTTACACCCGACACAAATGGAAGTCCGTCACCACCGTGTGCAGGATTGCGGGGCCTCAGGAAGGATGAGTCGGGAAGGAAGGAGTTGGCGTGGATGGAGCAGGCAGATGAGATCTGTGTAACGCGCTGTTCCAAGGCTTCAGAGGAAGTGGTATTTAAGGAAAAAGACA